CCCATTTTTACACACCCCTCTCTCAAGCCAAGATTTTCAGTTAAGACTTTCCTGTTTCTCTATCAATGTCCACTTGGTCTGTCGTGCCAATCACAGTGAGCCAACAATTCTGACTCACAAGTTGAGGAATTTTGCACTATTTTCATCAGTTCTGCTTGTTCCTGGCCTCCCTGGCCCCTCTTCATCAGTGACACTTTCTCTTCTCTCAGAGAACATTTGATCCATTTGTGCACTGTAATTTTCTTCATGGCATTACCCCCATAAACTTGGACTAACATGTCCCTGACTTCACTTCCCTTCTTGCCGAGTTTAACAGGAAATTTATGAATGTTCACTGCTCCAATGCAAGCTTCATCTTTCTCACAACAGCACACAAAACCCCACAACAACAGTGAATGCTGCCCAGCGAGCACGGACACACTGACACGAACACAACTGTGACACACAATACACCCAGGTGATGAACCCTGAGTTGTGTGTACAGTGCTGCCAATGTAAGTGTGTGGTGGCAAATTCGGAACTCAATTGTTAGACCTCGCACAATTGGAGCAGAGTTTCTCAAACTTGGCACTCATGGCCAAGGTAGTTCTTGACATTGGGGACCATGCCGTGTATTGAGAAATGCCTACCCATAAGATGCTAGAACTTCCTTCCCCAGATGCGACAGTCAAAAATGTCTCTAGACATCACCAAATGTCCCCGAAGGCAAGGTATGAAATCACTCCCCATAGGTCACCAGTGATTTAGAAGAAAGATTGGGTTGGGCATGATGAAAAGAATTAAAATGAAGATAGAAACTAATTAAAATTACAGCAGCATCACAGACTCCCAAGCCTGAAATGGACCTTAAAGATTGTACGGCATATGGTAACAATGAACCTGAACTCAGAAGGGCTATGGTGGGGTTTGACTTAAACAAAGCAAAAAATACATGCAAGTCACTCTGCGGTGAAGGAGAGAGAAATCCCATTAGGTAAAACACAACACACTAAGAGGTGGACACTTGGGGTTTCTGCTTTCATTTTCAGATAAAAAAATAATAAAGCACAGTCTAATAAAACCACAATTTAAACTAAAGATTTAATGTAAATATATCTCCTTATGCTCTAACTGCTTGAAAAGGACGCTCGAGAGCTCTTTCAAAGGCCCTGTTTATTCTGTTCCTGTCAACAGTTATCCCAGGAATCCTCCTCCAACAGATTATGGCCCATTACGTAGCCTTGTTTTTCTTCTACTGTTTTACACTAAATAGGGCACTGCCCACCAACATATCTGGATGATCGCTGTGTTCAGAAATGCCGTACCATTTTAAACACACAACATAATCCCAGAGGAATTTGAATTAAGAAACGAGGATAGAAAGTACTAACAGAAGCAAGCAAGGCGCAGTGCGGTACACTGTTTCCCTCTGACGGGGTAGGGAGGATCAGAAGCACTTCACACACCAGGTCCCCAGCCTATCCCCGCCAGCCAGCCGGGGATTTAACAAACTCAGCCAGCTCAGAGAACAGCGTGGATTTTTACCTCTAAAAAAGAAAATCATGGTGAAGCAACCAGGCTTTTTACAAGAGGGTAAAAGGAATATAAAGAGCTTTCCTTTCAAGTCTCCTCTCCTCTTGCTCCTGAAATTTTTCCCTTCTATACAGATCATAAGCCAGCTCTTGCAAAGCTAGGGCAATTTAAATAAATGCATGTTTCTGTCTGACCCTTTAGTTATCTAAGGTTAAACTTAATCTAACCCCCCCCCAAATAGCCTCTCCAGTGAATTTAAACAATGGGAGTTTTAGACAAGGTATCTGTCATAGGTCCTCAAGCCCCCTGAAGACAATCTTGGTGTTTTTAAATAAATAGTCTGATCTGTGAAATCTTTGAGAATTATCTGTTTGAGGTATGTGGGGAGCTAGTTCTGAAGCCTCGGGGATTCATCTATCTAAAGAAACAGAGGGACTAAAATGGACTGAATTCTCTGTCTTTCCTGGCCACCGTTAGAGGTCAGTTCTCATTTTCCGATATCATTCATTCATTATTCAGGGATTCAGGTGCCACTTAATAGGTTATTTTTTTCAGTCTACTCCCTGGAATTCGCAGCTTCTTCAAGGTGAGCCTCTAGCCCCAGGCCCCTTATTTTTAAAATTCCAGATCTTGTCTCCAAAATTTCTAAAGCCTCTACTTGCGGGGGGGAGCGAGGTCATGTGGGTTTCTTGTTAAATTCCAGCAGCCAAGCTCTCACTTTCTCTCTAAGCTCCTCAGGGCAGACTGGCAGCCAGTTTCTCCGGGAGGTTTCTGACAGCCCAGCACAGGGCTTATTTTACACATTCTGAGTCCTCCTTCCCCTGCCTCCTGCCCCGTTAGCATTTTAAGCCACGGGGTGTGGTGTTAAGGACACAGCTGTAAAGTGTGTGCTCCGAGAATGTCATCAAAGCACAGTAGGCAGGCAGGAGAAAGGAGGCAGAAAGGACGGAGGAGAACTCACCATGTGGCTTTGCCTGCTGTCGGGGCAACACAGGTAAAGCTTTAATGAGCCTTAGTTTCCTTATCTAAGGGAATGTAGAATTAATATCAACCTTAAAGAACTGCTTAAAATTCTAAATAAATATTCTTGTAACATACGCTACTTGAAGGCAAAAACAAAGGCCAGTTTACCTTGGTCCACACCCAGTACAGGTGGGAAACCTCATGCATGCATCATTGA